GTTCGCCGTGAAGGTGCGGAGGCAGACACGGGCAGGTAGGACCGCGTCACTGCGCTCGGCTGCAGCGCTGGGCCCGCCGCCTGGATGCCGACATGCCGCAGTCACAGGCGGCTCGTTTCAGACGCTGTTTGCTAGATGAGCAGCTGAGGAGCACCTGTAGCTCTGACAGTTTGGGTCTGTGCTGTGTTTTGGTGAAGCCCTAAATGTGTCGATCCGGTGTTGTGCCAAAAAGTGATTTCCAATGTTTCCGTGTATTTTTTGTGTGTAATATCTTTACGTATGTTCGTAAATAGACTTCGGTGAACAGCGTTTACAAAGGGGTTACATAAAGAATTAAAAAAGTATCTGTTTTTTAAGTATCTTTACAACTTGTACTTACATTATAACCAATCCGCTCCTTTATCCCCACTTAAAATATTTTTACTGAACTATCGTAATATTTGAGCCATTTCTGCTGTCCTGTTGGGCAACTTACTCTTACAAAACACATTTTTAATGTTAATGAGATTTTTTTACTGCATAAATAAAGGTTATATAAAAGTCACTGCCAAAAACTGATCGCGGCTTCTATCTTGTTACAAGAATGTTGTTTGTGGCTCAAGATGACTTTATGTCCTTAATTGACAAAGTGTGTGCAATGCATGGCTCATAGTTTCCTTGTGCTGTGTGCTCAGCCGACGAGGACCAGCGCAGGGATGTTGTGCGTGCAGCGGGGCCCCCTCAGCGAGCAGCAGAGGAGCGAGGAGCCGGCATGCCTCGCCGGAGGAGGAACCTGGCCAGTGTGATGGCAAACAGACGACCTCAGAGAGAAGCTGTGGAGCGCGGTAAAGCCCCTGAAATAAACATGTTTAGTGTGCTGGAAGAGTCTGCTCAGCTCGTGTTTGAGCTCTCGTATGTTTCATGAGGGCCTCGGAGCAGGAGCACAGGTTTCCTGTGTGGAAGATGTCAAATGTCCCTCAGAAGTCACATGTTCATCACACAAAGATGGATTTAAACATTAAACGTTGGCTTTTCCCACAGTTTTTGCTGAGTATTTATAATGTGTCACATTATTTGATTTCACTCCCCCTTTTTTCTGTTCCCACTTCTGCTGATCAAAAGCTAAACACACAGTAAAGGTGATGTTTATACGTGAGAATGAGTGTGTCCTGCTGGTTTCAGAGGAGGAGCCTGTGGAGGAAGACGAGGTGGAGCAGCAGAGCTTCCAGCC